TGTGCAGTTAACGGCGCACCATCAGGAATAAAGTGGACAGTGTTGTGACTGGTTATGCTTTCTACACTGGGAGGCGACTCCTGTTTTATTGCCTGCTCGGTTTTGGAGTGAGAAGTAAGTTGGAGCATGGAGTGGGGCGAGTCTTCGATAGCTAATGGAGCATCGGAAGTGTCCGCAGAAAGCTAAGATTAAAGAAAATTTAAATTCTTAAAAGCACGAGAAAAAGCAAATAACCATGCATCTCAGCTCACCGACAAACTGGAATCAAAAGATCTTGAAGGAAAAAATTTAGCCAACTTCGCTTCTCGCTTTCTTTCAGATTCTTCTATGATTTCTATGAAAGAGGCGTTGTCTTCTGTAGTGTTATTCGCAAGATATGTGTCCAGTCGGACCGCTGTAGCATCTAAAATTCGAAGAAAATTAATGGTAAATTAAGACAATGGGAAAGAAGGCTACTGCAAACGGATAATAATTACCACGCTGAGGATTTTGTGTAGGGGGGCCAGGAGGAGTTTCGGAGCCCTCAACGATTTCATCAGCTGGGGCCTCGCCTTTCAGTTCAGCCAAATCAGGAAAAAAGTCACGCTGGATGATACTACCAATGTGCTAAATGCAAAGTTACAAAGTAAGACTATGAATAGGCTTTCGCCATATTACAAGCAGCATATGCCTTAAACTCATTTCCCGAAAAATGCCCCTCCGTAGTAGTATTGACACACTAACAAATAACCGTTAGCAAAAGAAATCGCAAGAACTGAAACAGCTGAAAATGCACCCACAGCAGACACAGATACGTTACTTACGCTCAGATATTCATCTTCCGAACGGACGTTTTGACGCACAATCTTCTGCTGAGTCTTATTGAAGGTAATAAGCTGCTTTGAACCATCGCTGGTCGAGATGATATTTGGATTGCTCATACCGTATGAAGAGTACACCTACTTCACATACACCGCCCAATACGTGTAAAACTTAACAAATTACAAGAACAGTCTACTGTTAACTGCAAAGCTAGGAATAACTTTTAACCATTGAATTCATAGCTGCCTTTGATTATTGGAAAGAGACATAAAAATAGCATCTGATACTTCAACACATCTGAGGTCATACATGATTGTATGCTACGGCCGTGGATTTTTCACTGTAGTCGCTTGTCGCTTGCAAAATTTACGCTAACGTTTATTTGGGCATTGTATCATTCAAGCAATGCTTACCCCGCTATTTTCCCTGACCCAAACATCCGATAAGCTCATCCTAAAACTTCACATTCCCCTGGCTGACTTAAGCAATTCGGAGTTCCTCGTGGAAGATGGTGTCGTATTCTTTGGTGCTCCGCCATATTACCTCCGGTATGCACATCTCTCAGTGAATTATTTGCAAATCTCTTACAAGACTTGGGCTTCCTGGATCAGTCGTGGAAGATGATGATCACATAGAGTTTAAGTTAGAATCTGGAGATATGTTCGTCACGATGACAAAACTAACGCCTGGAGAACACTTCGAAGATTTGGATATGCTGTCTAGATTTATAATCAACTCTGACTCAAAGAAATCGGCCTCAAATGTGGGAATACAAATTTTGGATTCGACTACAACCCTGCCTGAAGGGACAGTGGATTATGATTGGTTTGTAGAGCTGCTAGAAGAAAACGATGCCGCTAGATCTGATGACGATCCCATGAACGTGGAAATAATCAAGTACCCGTATGGATTCGCCGCGTCCAAGTCAGGGCTTTTCGTAGATAAGGTAGTACTATGCCTTCTAAATCTTAATTTTTTTCAACTCCAGCCAGAAACCTGTTTACCGATCGACCTGCCGAATCCTGATTTTTGTCCACCTTCGAAACGGCATAGACTGCAGCTTCAGTCGGTTCAGGATCACTTTCAGGCAGAACACTATATGTAGGTCCTGTATATCGACATTGCTTCATGTCTACATCCAATTCCTGGGCTCCGTTGAATGTGTAATTGGTCGGTGATGCTAAACTTGAATGGTGAATCCTAACTGGTCGAGTGTCAGTCGATGACTGATATTAGTTTCCTATGCCTCTATAAATTACGTTCTGCATGAATAAGTTGCTGTTCTAATGACATAACATTTTTTGTTTTGCCATCAGAGCTGATTACTATGAAACGGAAGCGTCTGCTAATGCACTGCGCCAGTCGATTCCTTGGACTGAGGACAAGACGGGAGCTCCCGAATTTTCCGACGAGTATCGTCATCGTTTGACTGTCCTTTCCACGCGTGCATTGCCTCTCCTCCCACCATCCCCTTCTGATATCGGTTCTTTGGAAAAAGTGAAAGTAGAAGATACAAGGACCTTTGTCTACCTTGGACTTGCAGATTTGTTATTCGCCTACACCTACGACTACCGTGTTAGAGAAGGTGATGAGAACTGTGAATCTGGTTGGGTTGTTGCCAAGATTGCATCAACTTTGTCCTGGCTTGAGGCAAGTTTTACACAACTAGAACATGTGACGCGATTCTTCGTTCTTATGGTTGCCATGCA